GTCTGTAGACACCTCCAAGGTCATGTGGCTGGCATGACTGCATGGAACACTGTTACCTTCCCACCAAAGTGGCATCTATTGATCTACCCATATTTGCATGTTTTCGAAATGCTAAGCTGGCAGAAGCTGGGGCTTACAACAGAAGCTCACCCCATCCCATGGATTCAAACCACTGAACTTCAGGTCAGCAATTTCTGCAGCTTAGAAGTTTAACTTGCTGCTCCACTGCATAAATGGATGTAATTTTGAGTGAGAATGTGCACCTAACTGAACATGGTGCAAATGAGAACAGACCTACACATTCAGAAGGATCGCAGGTTCTGTCTCAAAATCTAATAATTGTGAAATACCCCCCAGAAAGCAAAGGTCATACATAAGATCGAGCCCTCCTTGCCTTGGAACATCCCTTCTCAAAAAAAACTTTCTGTCCTCAGACTATGTGTCAAGACAGACCAAAAGCCCTTTTACACTACACACATGTATAGTGCTATGAATCTAACTTTACTGTCATGACAATGTCCTATGGAATCCAAGGATTTGTAGTTTAGAGAAAGGTATTTAAGATCTCTGCCAGAGAGCTCCAGTGTCTCACCAACTATTAATTCCAGTATTCCATAGGATGGAACAAAGGGAGTTAAAAGTGGAATCACACTGCATTAACTATGCAGTGTGAAAGGACCCCTAATCTTTGATGGGGATGGACTTCCTACCTCAGAATCTCCTCATGCATTATTTTCTCAGCTCTCTTTTTCCAATTTCTGAATCTCTACTCTCTAGGGATATAATTCAAGCCTATATTCTTTTTTGACCTATTGCCTTCTGTTCCTCTCCTTCTGCTCCATTTCCAAAGCTGAGATAATGGAAAAGAGTTAGTCAACCACTTGACAGTATCTCTTACACAAACAAGTGGAAATCATGGCAGAGACAATAAGAGTATACACGCATGGAAGTGCCACACACCAAACAAGTGTCACACTACCATTGGTGTCTTCACAGCAATATTTCGGAGGTAGTCCAGCCTCCTTCCCTCAGATGACAACCCTCTCCAACTACTTGAGAAGGTTTCATAAACTTCCTCCTCAAACCTATGGTAGATCTTGCTGTCAAAGGATATATATATTCTGCCACAATTCAAGAAGCTCACTACTCCTCTTTGAAAATCTGGGCTAGAGAAGCTGGGCCATGCAGAGCTTCCCCCTTTAGTCTACTATATTAATTGTCTTTTTGAGAGTATCTCCCAGGTAATGCATCCTATAAGAGGTACACAAGGACAGATAAATTTGTAAAGTGTGCCATTAAAGCCGATTTCATTTTGCTTACACCTTTCCAAGCTTAACCCATTTATCATCTTAATTATACTTTTAACTATACAGGGTCTCTCTTTTTTATGGCCATAGGTTTTAATACTGTCTAGCTTCTCCCACCTTACTTACCCATTCATCTCATGTGTAAACTTAATTATACATGAACAAGAACCATAAACATTCAATGCTGTGACAGTCAATTAAAATGAGATGGGGTGCTATAGAGAATAAAGTTATCTGCAATAAAAAAGAAACTATTGGTCGGTTCATGTTTCCTGAACAAACCTGATGCTCATCTAGCCCACCCTCTATTTCTGATTTTCATTTCCAATTTAATGGCAAACTATGGTATATCAGGACCCACTTGGACATAATTGATTTGATGTATAAACATAAAGCAAAGTTAATGCTACATGTATGCAGTGGAACAAACTTAAGCAATGCATGGTGTTCACATATATCTCCGTTCTTCCATTCCTTTTGCACAAATCAGAAAAAGAATTTATCTGTTTAGTTGCAATTTTGGGGTGAAAAATATTGTCAGTTTCAAAAGTAACTAACTTATAACTACAACATCTTTTAAATTGCAATCTCAGTTCCATAGGTAAGAATAATCCAGCTTTCGTGGAAAGTGAATCTAAACTCAAGTGAATACTTCCTTCCAGCTACATGGAAAGATGAGGAAGAAAAAACAGAATATTCGAGCATAACTCTTCACAAAAGTGCATTCACAGCACATTAAGTGATGGTCTAGTGTTACATATAAGCTAATCTCAAATGCCAAATCAGGTTTAGGGCACTGCATTTGAACCAACCCAAAATTATTAAGTTATGTTCTGCATCCCACCCAACAAAACATGTTCTGTCCCAGGACCCTTCAACTCAAGCAAAAAACAAAGTCGCCTATAGGAATGTCCAAATTCTATTCTTTTATAAAAAGGTTTAAGTATCTCATTTGAAAAATATAATGCTATACTTGCTTACACCAGATGAGTATCGTATTCAACAGAAAGACAGCCGGAGAAATTAATGGATTTTATGCAACATCAATGCCAGCTTTCATTATGGCTCACTCCTTCCCATGTGGAGCAGCTGCACTTAAACCCAATTCTACTGACAAAGCAACATCCTTTCAGATTTGAACAATTTACCATAGTAAATTTGCACCAAAACAATCTCATCATATACAGTATCTGTAGCCAAGCACACACACACACCGTATAAATAAATACAGTTCAAAAGTTAGTTACATCTCTCAGTCAACAACACTTGAGGGTCCAACTATGGCAAACATCATATAATTCTAGATGCTCACTACTCCTCTAAGGTGGCCACTCTTCATTATTACCTAAGGCTCCAATAAGTACATCAGCACTGATCCATTGGTTCCTTGACTGTGTAAAGACTCCCCCCAAATCCTTCAGCATTACATACGTCCCTTTGCTGCCCACTCCTTCTAAAAGCTCTTAATGGACCCCTTCTTCCTCCTTGCTCAGCTTTATTACTTTGAGGGATGGATTAGAAGAGAGACTAGCTTTTTAGAGCATTGACGTTCCTAATTCTCATCACATGCCAGTCTACCCCATTCCTCTCTCAAGAAAGGTAAGTGTTGAACATCTCTCAATACCCTTTCACGGTTACTATCCCTTCTCATGTGCCAAAGACTGCAAACCAATTTGGCATCTCCCTCTCTTCCACCCAGCAGGCCTGTCTCTGCAGTCTCCAGTAGCACTGAACAGCTCTACACTCTTCCCTCATTTCCTCCTCCAGACAAGCTAGAAAGGCTTTCTCCTGTGATCAGTGCAGTGCTTCAACTGGCTCCTTGGCCCTTACTGTTATTGTTCTCTTCCCTGGCTTTCCATATTCTCTCTGCTTTGATTGCCTCCCCATTTTAAGCTCCCGGTTTTCTCATGACTTCTCTCCATCCTACCCCTTCCACCCAGAAGTCCCTTTTCTTATGTTGTAAGCAGGCAAGGAAGGAAGAAGCAGCTCCTGGTTTCTTCTTTACCAAGTGCCACTTCCTCTGGTCTGCAACCAATGTGCTCCTCCTCACAGCCAAGTCTCAAGGAAACACCCTGCTATACATGTAAGAAACACATATTGACCAAGTGTCCAATTCCAATGTGGGAAATGTCTCAGAGGCCACATCCTAGGGCCCTTCCAGGTTGGCCCTATATCCCAGGATCTGATCACAGGTTTTCCGCTTTGAACTTGATTATATGAGTCCTCATTGCCAGATAATCTGGGATAAACACAAAACCTGGATTCAGATCCTGGGATATGGCCTGTCTGGAAGGGCCCCTGGTAGTGAGTAGTGAAAAGGACATGGAACAAGGTCAGAGCAAAGAAAGTGAGTTGAGATGTAAAGCTTGCTCGTTGGAAGGTTTTTGAAAATGAACATACATAGCACAAATCCATTTCATATATAAGTAATATTTTTCTTTGCCCGTGGCATAATGCCGGTTGCAAAACATTCTGATAATACAGTTTATCTATTACAACAAATCATATACTACTGACATGGTTACATTAGACAAGAATAGATAACGCAGTAAAGCTTCAGTGGGATTCTGCTTTAGTTGATGCCTACTAGATAAGCAGCAATTACATCCAGAATCTCTTACTGAATGTGCATGAACAGCAAAACAGAGAGTAAAGAGGACAGCAGATAAGTTTTCCTTACTAGCAACTCCTAGGATGTTAAAAAGCATAGATTGGTACTGCTGAATAGAAATCATATGGAAAATAAAGATTGATGAAAGGAAAAAAACAACCTTTAGACCTTTTGGGAGAAGGTTTCAAATGGTCTCTAGAAGGCTCAAAATGTTTCTTATATAGAGTTTGTCTGACCTGCCTGGTCCACTTCACATGATATACCATTAGTTTTCAATTGAAAGTATCTTTAACATAGTAATTAGTTAACTGTGTTATACCTGTGTAACTGAACATCTGAGAGTACTTTTAGATTGCTTGGATACTAATAAACATCAAATTTCATAGTCCATGTCACTAAAATACTTTTATTAGTCCAATCCTAAAAAAGTAGATTAGTACAGAAGCTTTCAAAACCAAAAGTAAAATAAGGGCAGTATTTATGGAGGCATTACTTCCTCCAATAGACACCCCCACCCCCGCCGCTCCAATTGGATTCTGACAATTTGCATTGCCTAATACGGCACTGAAATTAATCTTAAGGCCTACCTGAGGAACCCATTGCTCACATCTAACAAAGGAGCATGCAGATTGATACACCCAGATAAAGACCAATGATGGTGGTGTGTCATTTGTATAGCTAAAACAACACACTACTGCCTTGCTTTTATTGTTCTGGATGAACCCAGGGCCACAGAAGCTGTTCCTGGGCAGCCTTAATTGATATTACATACACTTCCTCATATACCACTTCAAGACAATATGTGGACTATCACTGACTCAAGCTATTATCCTTGCAATTTTTAAAGAATCTTTGTCTGATTAAAAAACATCTGTTTTGAAAGCTAGTACTGAGGTTTGATGACTTTTTGGTTGACAATAATTTTACATTGTCAAAATAAATTCTACATTGGCATGAACCAAGTTCCTGGTAAATTTATGCTTATTTGCTGTTGACTTTAAACCATCTTTCTCATTTTCCCAATGGAAAGAAATACTGCACATGTTGCTTATTCTTTCATTGTAAAATATATAGTAAATTACCTTATGAGGAGACAAAATCCTCTGCCGGAACTTTTCTACCACCTCTGGACCTGCAGCAGCCCATGCAGTAGCCAAGACTTCTACTTTATCAGAATCCAAGTTGGAATGTTCTAGTTGTTGTTTGAGAATGGCTGGCTTCGAATTATGATATACAGCCTGTTTTAAAAAACCAGTCATTGAAAACTCACATATTCTCTAAAACAGCATTTAAGAAGTCACATCATGCCACTATTTGTACATCTAATACAGTGGTACTCAACCTACGGGTCTCCAGGTTTTGGCCTACAACTCCTAGAAATCCCAGCCTGTTTACCAGCTGTTAGGATTTCTGGGAGTTGGAGGCCAAAACATCTGGTGACTCACAGGTTGAGAACCACTGATCTAATACACACAGAACATAAAATTGGAGGGTAAAACATTTACAATACCAATGAAAACATTCACTAGTTTGGGAAAAACCAGAAGTCTCTTGCATCAAAATACTGAGGACAATACAATATTCCCGCAAGAGAGGAGCTATCTTGAAGTTTGGTGAATAATAATGAAGTATGTATTTGTTGCACCAATAATGGATTTTCTGAAAACTGCACCTCAAAAATAATTACAGTTGAAACATAGTATGCAATGTTAATTTTTCTATTTATTTATTTTCTTCTTATACAACTTCCTGAGTATGAAACAATGGAAAAGGGTGGGAGATATGAACCTTGTTTTACACAAGAGTGCACCTGGATTCAGACAGGTTGAAATGGCAGTTTTGGTCAATTGTCGACAGTCACCCCAAATATTTTTAAGGTCGCAATGGCTACCTAAATAATTTTGCATTATAATTGTGAAGTTATTCTGATATTTGACTACTGAAACACTTTAAGTACAGCTAACTATGAATAAGGAAAAATGAAGTTAGGTTTCCCAAACATGTGACTGATATACTAATGTAAAACAAGTATTTCCTTTGATTGTATATATTATAAATGATAAATATAATATAAAATATATTATTTTACCAATTTATAGTACTAACAAAAGTGTTATAGCACTGACAAACGGAGATACCTGTTCCAAAATAAATGTTATGGTTTCAAGGACTAAATGGAGATCTTGCTTTTCTACTAAGAATGCAGCTTGAAGTTTTTCTTCTTCTTCTTCTGTGAAAGTACTTTCAGTCTGAAATTAAAAAAAGAATACTTTAATTTACCCCAAAGACAGTATTTATTGCTTGCAGATATGTATTATTTGATTGCTTTCCCACTGTGTCATAAAAATGATACTCAATGCAGCTAAAAACAATACAAAATAAGCACACAATATACAGTTAAGAGATATAAAAAAATTAATATAAACAAAACACAGTAGTAAAACAACTGATTGTCGCAATAAAAAATTCTCATCATATGCAGAATTAGTTATGGTATGATCATAAATTCAGTTTATTTATATTACTTTGCTAGTTTTTATTCATTTTAATAAACTTGACAGCCATATTATGTGTAAATAACTTCCTGAGTTAAAGTTTTTACTATTGAGTTGTAATACTTATAAAATATTTTGAAACAAGAAAGAAATGAAGAGAATGCCATACAGTTGCTCTAATATAAACAAAGAAACAGGAATGACACACTTGCTGGAATAAAATCATTCTGCACTTTGGGGTAGTCATAATCTGAAGGAATGCCATGTAGAAGATGAAACAAGCCTGTTTTCTGCTGCTCTAGGGACTACAACCAAGAGATGAAAATTACAAGAAAAGAAATTCCACTAAACATCAAGAAAAATTTCTTGACCATGTGAGTTGTTTAATCCTGTACTCACAACTGGTTTAAGCAAAAGAGAGTTATGAGGATGTTCCACTTGTGCAATAGAGCTCCCTTCTTTCAAGAGGATTCAGCATCACTAAAGCTACCTGAAACTCACAAAAACTAATGTTCTGATGAACAACAAAGAGCTTCTGTGGGGACAGGAGCAAGGGAAGTCAGTATTTTTCCCCCTTTCACCCCAAATCTGAAGAAATATTTGCTTTGTGTACTTTTAAACTTAGTCTAAAGTCATGCTTATTATTTAGATTAATACATGATAGAACACAACATATATCAAAATATTTATAAGACCAATTTATAGCACTAACAAATATAATATAATATTATTATATATAATAATGGGGTAAAATAATATAATGGGGTATAATAATATAATATAATACTATGTGGGTATAATAATGCCCATAAAAATATGGTAATGGCTCTAAGAAGCAGTCAAGGAATCTTTGACCCTCCAAATGTTTCTAGACCTGAGGTCCCTTCATCCATTACTCTAACTGACAGGATAATTGCTACTATTGCAAGCTAAAGTCTAACAACATCTGCAGGGTCATGGGATCCCCCGAGACTGCAGTAACCATTCTACTCCTGATTCAGCAGACACAATTAGAAGGACCACAATAAGCCCAAGAGATTGTACTGTCATGTGGAAACTCCTTTGCTCATGAGAATTACCATATCCACATAGACCCACTAACTCTTTCAGCCTTTACATCAATACTTAGTTTTACTTCTTTTAAATCCAACCTCTCAAAAATCATTCCCTCCAGGCTGAGTGCAAGAAAAAGTCATAATGCGTAACTTCAGCAGAATTCAGAATTTCCATTAAAAATCATTTGCTAAAAACAGTCAACAGAATTAGTTTCAAAGTGATGGACTACAACATGACCATTGGAGAAGTCACTATAAAAAATAGATTTTACCACAAAAAGTCATAAAATGAGTGTTAAAGTGGGTACAAGATTCAAACTGGTTAGAGATTACAGCTTTCAAGCTGTTCTGCTATAATACAGGCTATGCACTGACCCACATTTTTCATAGAAATAGTGTGCCTTAGTTTTACTTTGAGCAGTTTTTACACTTTATTCTCTGAAAAGAAAGGGGAACCAAACCAACACATGGCAGCAGACACTCAAGTGGAGCAGAAAGCTATTGTCATATTTTCAATATGATACTAAAATGTAGCTGTTCTTTGTACAAACCTTTAAGTGAAGCTTTTGAAGGATGCGGGAAAGCAGACGAGAGAACTTGCCTGTGTCTATTGCATTGATGAGGGACACTGCCTTTCGGATGCTGGAAAATGAGCCCAAAATATATTTAATTTTATTTATTATATACCATCTTTCTCCTAGCGTGGGACCCATGATGGCTTCCAAAAACAGTAAATTAAAACATTTCCACACAATCTAAACCAATTCAAAAATGTCATAATACAGTATATATATATATGATGCCCAATAAAAAGTCACACCAGCTTAGACATTAAAAGCTTGCTTAAATAAAAATGTATTTGCCTATTAGCAAAGGAAACCAGGGACAAGGCCACTTTAGGGCCCTTCCACACAGCCCTACATCCCAGAATATTGAGGCAGAAAATCCCTCATTATCTAAATGTGAACTCAGATAACCCAAGGCCCTTCCACACAGCCCTATCTCCCAGAATATCAAGGCAGAAAATCCCATATTATCTGAATGTGGACTCAAAGCAGATATTGTGGGATTTTCTGCCTTGATATTCTGGGATATAGGGCTGTGTGGAAGGGTAAGTCTTCTGTAGAGGGCAATTCCACTGAGAAGGCTCACCAAGCAAGAACTGGAGGACCACTGTTGAAGGACTGAAAAACAATTATGTTTCTGGTTTGAAAGTGTTATTTCCTGTTTAATTATGTGGTACGTATTTTGAAAATTTGTTATATCCCTAGAAGCTTTATTTTTTTGGCTGAGGGTAGTACTATTATTTCCTTCAGTCTAGGCACTTTGTAATCTTCTTTAATAAAACATGCCATTTTAAATGTTTCAATGTGCAGACCATAACAAAGTTTTTGCAGTTTAATGACCTTTTCTTGTGTTTGTTTAAAAATTATAGAACCAATTAGAAAATTGCATTTATAACCCTGGAACAAAAATGGGGTTACATGATGTAATGGTTGCGGGATCAAGAGAAAGCCTTCTCTGGGCCCTTCCACACAGCCATATAACCCAGAATTATCAAGGCTGAAAATCCCACAATATCTGCTTTGAACTGGGATAGCTGAGGTCCCTTCCACATAGCTGAATAAAATTCACATTATCTGCTTTGAAGTGGGATATATGGCGGTGTGGACTCAGATAACCCAATTCAAAGCAGATATTGTGGATTATTCTGCCTTGATATTCTGGGTTATATGGTGGAGTGGAAGGACCCTGAGTCCACACTGCCATACTTACTTACTTAGGCAATCCCTCATTGTCCAACTAGGTTAGTCTTCCAAGATCAGTGTACTGAAGGGTGGGTCCATAGGTGACTGTGGAGCCCTATTCTTGATTTGCATCTTCTCCTGCAGTGAGGGCATTGGTTTCCAGACAGAAGGCGGTCTCGGACGGGGTTGGCTTGACGCGCCTTCCTCTTGGCACGTTTCTTTCTTTCACCCTCCATTCGTGCCTCTTCAAATTCTACAGCACTGCTGGTCACAGCTGACCTCCAGCTGGAGCACTTCCCAGTTTTGCCATATATTCCAGTTCAATGCAGATAATGTGGGATTTTATTTAGCTGTGTGGAAGGAGCCTCCGACAGATCTCAAAGTTCTGGTGGGTAGTATAGGGAAATATGGTGTTTCAGATTGTCAGGACATAAAAGAAGGCGAATGAAACAAAGAGGAGTACTAACAATTACATTGCTTCTCTGAACCCTTCTACACTGTCAAGGCAAAATCCAGATGATGTGCTTTGAACTGGATTATATGGCAGTATAGACTCAAATAATCCAGTTCAAAGCAGATCATGTGGATCATGTGTTTTGATAATCTGGATTATATGGCAGTGTCGCAAGGTCCTACATTTCCCAAAATCTAAAAGCCATGCAGAAGCTTAACATAAAGGAAGATGCTGAAATCGCCTGCACTGAAAATGGTGCAACTACAACTCCCATGATGTCGAACCGCATTAATTCCACAGTGTAGAGCAGGCTTGGGCAAACTTGGGCCTTCCAGGTGTTTAGGACTTCAACTCCCACCATTCCTAACAGCCTCAGGCCCTTTCCTTTTCCCCCTCAGCCGCTTAAGCGGGGGAAAAGGAAGGGGCCTGAGGCTGTTAGGAATGGTGGGAGTTGAAGTCCTAAACACCTGGAAGGCCTAAATTTGCCCAGGCCTGGTTTAGAGGCATAAGATGAAAAGGCATATGAAGAAGACTGTTAGATAGATAGATGGACTCCTTCAAGGAAGCCACAGATGCCCTGCATTTGCAAGACTGGTTGGGGAGACTTGAAGGCAGTTCACAACCACAACAAGCGAGCAACTCTTCCACAAAGTAAACTGAATCAGAGGGTTTTACCTTCCTGTATCCGGAAGAATGATGGGCGCCGCCATCTTAGCCGCCTCCGCCGTCAATCACAACACGCCCTTCCTTGCAAAAGCCAATCAGCGGGCAAAGCGAACACAGGCGCTGAAGAGCCAATCCCGGCTCCGGAATTCTGGCGAGCCCCGCCTTCTTCTCCTAGTCCCGCCCCAGGATTTTCCACAGGGAAGAAAAAAAATGCTGTCTCCGTCCTTCAGGGGGCGCGCGAGAGCAATTGACATTCATTGCAGGAGAGGCAAAGCAAGATCCATTGGATTCAGGGCCCTTCCATCCATACAGCCATATAACTCAGAATATCAAGGCAGATCTTCCACAATATCTGCTTCCAACTGGGTTATCTGTGCCCCCATCATATAGCTGAATAAAATCCCACATTTTCTGCTTTGAACTGGAATTTCATCGGAGGTTTAGCACAGCTGGTAAATCATCAGAAACTATAAGATCTATCAACCCAAAGGTTGCAAGTTCAAAGCCCGGGTCGGCGTGAGCGGCCGACCGTCAGCCCTGCTCACTGTTTACCTATGGAGCCCCCGGTGCCAGCAGGACTGAAGACCGACAGGCTTGAATCCGGGGAGAGGCGGATGAGCTCCCTCTATCAGCTCCAGCTCCTCGTGCGGGGACATGAGAGAAGCCTCCCACAAGAATGATAAAAAAACATGAAATCATCCAGGCATCCCCTGGGCAAGGTCCTTGCAGACGGCCAATTCTCTCACACCAGAAGCGACTTGCAGTTTCTCGAGTCGCTCCTGACACGACAAAAAAAACCCCCACTGTTTAGCTGCGTAGTTCAAAAACAGTTTTAACTGTAATTAGAGAAATTAGATACCGCTAAAAGTAGATCGGAAAATGCTGGAATGAGGTAGTCCTGATGGCTCTTCGTCATAGAGAATGGAACGACAGCACCCACTGTGGACTTGAGCCCAACCATCCATGGCATTGAAACAACACCTCCTTCTGTGCTGTCTGTGTACTGTCTATACAAACGGCATTGAATGTTTGCCTTGTATGTGTACTTGTGATCCACCCTGAGTCCCCTTCAGGGTGAGAAGGGTGAAATATAAATAAAGTGCTATTATTATTATAGTGTGGACTCAGATAACCCAGTTCAAAACAGATATTTGGGTATTTTCTGTCTTGATGTTCTGGGTTATATGGCTATGTGGAAGGGCCCTGAGTCCACACTGCCATATAACCCAGTACAAAGCAGATAAAGTGGGATTTTATACAGCTGTGTGTGGAAGGGGCTATAGATGTACTTTTGAGAAAAACCTGCAATAGATGACTCAGGCCACTTCTACAAAGCTGAATAAAATCCTACATTATCTGTTTTGAACTGGAATTTATGGCAGTGTGGACTCAGATAACCCAGTTTAAAGCAGATATTGTGGGATGTTCTGCCTTGGTATTCTGGGATACAGGGCTTTGTGGAAGGGCCATGGGTAAAACCGATCAATAATTATCATTCCATCCAGTATTGACGACCAAGGGTGTATCTACACTGCAGAATTATTGCACTTTGATACCACTTTTAACTGCCATGGCTCAATGCTATGGAATCATGGGATTTGTGGTTTCATGAGGTGGCAAAGAAGGCTAAAGACATTGTAAAACTATATATCCCACAATTCCATAGACTGAGCCAAGGCAGTTAAAATGGTGTGGACCTGCATTAATTCTACAGTGTAGATAGATGCACTCTAAGACACAAAATCATATTCCCACCATTCACACCTAAAAACTGCTGACCTTACGGTTCGAGGTTCGAATCCGCAAGACAGGGTGAGCTCCCATCTGTCAGCCCCAGCTTCCCATGCAGAGACATGAGAGAAGCCTCCCACAGGATGGTAACACACCTGGGCATCCTGAGTTGTGCTGTAAGACCCAAAAATTCCTTAAGAGCTGTTTTCTCTCGCAAAGAATAGCCATTTCTTTGTTTTGTTGGTGGCTAGAATCTCCTAGGAGAGAATGCTTCTGGAAAATGGCCATACAGCTCAGAAAACTCACAACAACCCAGCCATTTCTTTATTTGTGTGTTTTCATGTTCACAGAGGTCCTGTGTACCTAATCCCAGTGAATGTGGAGGGATGATTGTAGTCCCCAAAAATATTCCCTCTCTAAAAAATAACTTAGTATATTTGACATCATTCCCATTCTTCCAACCAGAAACAGCAAAAATTTCAGATAAATGAACATAAATTGTGTTTGACAGAGAAAGGAATGATGAGTATTGCTCATGAATATATATTCCTTACAAGATTATTTGGAGGATATTTAATAATCTAGATCACTTTTCACAAATGAGTGTTCTTTTTATTTCAAATTCTAGAATGTAAAGTATGAAATGTAAAATGGGGTTGATTAGGAAACTACAGTAAGTATTCTTCAGAGACAGCAACATATAGGAAGAGGTCAGAGTTGGGGGCATCTTTTAAGTCTTATTTATTTCAGCGTAGCCATTGTCTTTTTGTTAAAGCATGAGAAAGAAGGATATCTGGATCCTATCTCAAAACATTGGTGAAGGATGTGATTTTGATTTGCGCCCAGAAATATTGCTTGTGCTCAATTCTGCATTTTTAGCTAGTGCTCTTTTTTTGTTAAAAGGAGTCTGGAAAAGGTTCAGAGGATGTGATTTGTGCATGTTCTGGCATAGCTGTAATCTTAACAGGTAGAGTCTGGTGAACATTAAATCAGAAGATTGCGCTCATCAAACATTAAGGGGTACAAAGCAATAGGGAACATGCCAGGCTCATTTTCTTCAATTCATGAAGTGGGATCTGCTGGCATTTTGCCCAAACATACATCAGAACCAGTCTTTGAAACCCCAAGTAGTGGCTTGATGACTGAAATCTAGGATAGAAACGATTAGACTTTCTGGAGCCATAGGTCTCTCTGGATGACAGCTCATCTTTTTTAAAGCAGCAGTTGATTATGATATCATGTGTTCTGCCTTCCATGAACATTTGGGACCATACTATTATGGTCAGATTTGTTTTGCTGTGATTTTGGTGTAAGTACCACAAAAACTCCGGGGGGGGGATATACGTTCTGTCCGAGGGGCCCACTGAATAAAGTATAAAATTTTCCGCATTTTGTTTGCAATTATAGAAAGGTTCTGTCTGGTTGACTCTTCATGTTTAAGAAGAAAAACAGAGTAATGCTGATTATGTGCAAATGCAGTATACCGCCCTACATACCATTGCAACTCTAAAGTTATCTGCAGATCTGTAAAGTAGCCCTAGCTGTGTGAAGCCAGAAATTTAACATGGTTAGAGAAGAAAAACCCTAGAAGTGATACAGAGCTTTGATAATGAGATTCCTGCTCTGATTTGGGATTAATTTTTAAGATCGGTTTTGGGGCCATGGTGGCACAATGGGTTAAACCCTTGTGCTGTTGCACTGCTGATCTGAAGGTTGGCAGTTCCAATCCACAGGACAGGGTGAGCTCCCACTGTTAGCCCTGGCTCCAATCAACCTAGCAGTTCGAAAACATGCATGTGCAAGTAGATAAATGGGTACCGCTTCAGCGGGAAAGGCATAAGACACTCCAAGCAGTCATTCTGGTCAAACAACCAGGAGGTGGCAATGCAGGCTCCTCGACTTCGAAATGGAGAACGGCACCTCCTCCAGTGCCAGAAATGAGCACCGCCTCCAAAGCCAAAAATGAATGGAGAAGGTTTTGCCTTTGTTTGTGTTTCTGTGTGTAATTGTATTGTAACAAGGCACTGAAAGTTTGCCGGTATCTGTTCACAGTGTAATCTGCTCTGAATCCCCATGGTGAAAAGGGCGGTATATAAATAAAGTATTATTATTATTGTACAAAGCCAACCCTCCACATTGGCTAGGGCTAGGAGCACAACCAGTGAAAGTGGAAAACTGTATATAAATAAATTATTAATTTTATCTGAGAGAATATCTCTCTAAGGCCCCATCTATGCTGCCATATATTATACAGCTATACAATATCCCAGAGTACTTGTAGGGTATCAGCACAAACACAAAACAGTCTATGTATAATGTCAAAATATAATGTCAAAAGAGCATATAGTATGCTATTTAACAAAATCCCGAGTATATAGCTCAATTCAGTGGCCCAAAACAAAATCAAAAGGAGCAACCGCTCTCAAATGTAACAGTTCCAGGTCTGAACAAGGGTTTATAAAGAGTAGTTAGAAACTTAAAGGAAACAGCTAAAATTAAGTGACTCGTTAAGTCCTTGAGGGGAAAGGGTTTTCAACTTAACTACTCTTTATAAACCTGTGGATGACCCTTCAGAATTACTCGCAGTGTGAATTTACTTCTAGCAGAGTCACTTTTTGTATTAGCTACCTGGCATGATGTGAGTATATGTTATATGTTTGTTGTATCCATTATCTTTACTACTGTAATTGTGCTGGAAAATACTTGTTACTCTATGTGATGTTATGTTTTATTATAGATAAGAGTCTAGAGTTGCTGAATTTATCAACTCCTGAGGAAGGGGACTGCTTTCCCCGAAACAGGGTACAAAAATACCCGGGCACCCCTGTTGAATGCCATTCGGACTTTTCCTACAGAGACTTATTTTGAGAAGCAGTGCTCCATTTTCACTGGACTTAATTTGGATTTATTCCATGAAGATTTTTGAGAGTGGTGCTCCATCTTCATTATTGACTTCAGTATACATATAGCCTCATGACTCTATGCTTACTTTGTGTATGATTTATCTCATTGTATGTATCCCTGAAGCCTATATACAGTGGTACCCTTGTTCAGACCTGGAACTGTTACATTTGAGAGCGGTTGCTCCTTTTGATTTTGTTTTGGGCCACTGAATTGAGCTATATACTCGGGATTTTGTTAAATAGCATACTATATGCTCTTTTGACATTATATTTTGACATTATACATAGACTGTTTTGTGTTTGTGCCATATATTATACAGTCTGAAACTGGGTTAGATTTTCTAAATCAGCTATGAGTCTACACTGCCATATAATCCAATTCAATCTGAATCATAATGGCCATGTAGATGGAGCCTAAGGCTGGATCTACACTGCCATATAATGCAGTTTCAGAAAGCAGATTAACTAC